CAGTCTCTGTAGCACTTCATAACAAAGTTATCACTATCAAAAAATAAGTCACAGGTTCTGCAAACAAAATTGAAACATGTACACATCATATTTACCGGAGATCTAGACATTACATTAGTGTTACCAATGACCGGATAGAAAGTGATTTGAACAGGATTTCCCAACCTAGGTACACGAAAATTAAACTTACTTAATATGAATGAACAATCAACTTGATTGTGTATGATTTTGTACAAAAGATGTAGCGCTGATATATCGCGTATAAGATGCAATGGCTGCACATCAAAGATATTTCAATACACTCTTGAATTGTTGTAGATTGGAGACCAGGTTAATGAAGCGTATTACAGCTTACTTCTAATAAAGGTTAAATATAAAAGCTGTAGGGTTGCTGCGTTTGAAAGCCCTGCAGCAAGTTATTGGAAAAAGGAGGGCAAGGAATTGTTTGTAGATTTAGAGAGAGCATTAGATACGATGCCATTGAAAAAGTTGTTTCAAGCATTACGAAAGTAGGCTTTAGAAGAGAGTACGTGCAAGCTATCGCAAATGTATACAAACATGCTAGGAGTGTTGCAAAAGAAGGAAGTTCTATATCGGAGGCACTTCCAATAACTAAAGAACTTAAACAAGGATGTTGTCTCCTTCGACCCTAAGTATATACTCAATCAGCGCTAGAACAGTGGAGAAGACAGGTATTTGGAATGGGAATAGACATGGGTGATAATAAACGTCTAACAACTTTGTTTTTCGTGGACGATCATGTAGTCCGAACAAATTATGAGGAGGACATGGGGTGTACGTTTAGAAAATTAAAGATATAATATCAAAAATGGGACCGAAGTATGAATATGTCAAAGACGCAGTATCTCAAAATAGAGAATGATGAGGACGATCCAGAGTTAGAAATAAGCACCTTAAAAACATGAAAGAAATACAAATACCTCCGATCTATAATACAAGTATCCAAAGAAGGAACTACAATAAGAGACATTGAATGCAGAACGCAGCAGTTGAAAAGGCGATAAGCATTCTAAACTCTTTACTATGGTCTAAAGATATTCGACAAAAAACAAAAATCACAATATATTGAACCTTGGTAGAGCCTATCATGACTTATGGGGCAGAAGTTTTGCAGATCACAACAAAAAGATAAAAAAGGAATATCAGTACTACAAATGGATTATTTAAGGAGAGCCAAAAAGGATCACATCAGAAATGAATATAAAAAGAGGAGGACAAATACTGTATATTCAACAGCTAACAGAATTGAAACGAGACAACTAGTGTGGTATGACCAGCCGAAACGGTGAAACGAATGAGTGAAGATAGATGGCCAAATGAAACATTAAATTACGTACCACAACAAAGAAGGAAAAGGGGAAGGATTTCAGTTGCCTGGGAAGAAAATGTAAGGCAAATAATAAAAGATAAAGATAAGAACTTAAAAAAATTTTACACAATAAATTTCGAAACTATTACATTTTGGACTTGAACGGACGCTCCTCTTAACGCATCACACATTTTGCTTTGGGTTGGTGGCAGACTAAACAAAAAACCAATTCCTACTTGAATGCACATATACCAACTGCACACATAAGTTATAACCCCTCGACCCCGTTATTCCAAGATGTGTCTTTGAAGAGTTTCAGAATTTATGTAAATTTATTAACCCGAATTTTAAACTGCCTAAGGTTAGCGGAACTGGGAAAATATGTATCTTCGAAAAGTTTTAGACTTTATTTAAATTCGACATGGTTAGGCCAAAGTCGGGCGGGTCTCTCTGGCAGGCACATCGCGCAGCGGCGTCATGAAACAGAGCTCTGAGGAGCAAAGCCCGTTGGTGTAGTGGTAAAAGGGAGCTAGATAATCAACGGCCAACCGGTGCGAAAGGGTCCCGATACTGTCTGTTAGAGAAGAGTCGTCGATCAGTCGGACAAACCTCCTTTGGACAGCATCGAGCATAAATAATGTAGTCAGGGCGACAGTACCGCAAACGTTTTATCTGGGCCTTGTATAGAGTGAGAAGGTCACGCGGAGTAAAGTACTTCTTAGTCCTAAACAATTTCTTTGGGATCCCCAGACTGCAGGACCTTCTGCGTCACCATTGCTAGACAATGTGGTGATGACGTTCGCTCTTTAGTTGGCTTCTATCACTTTCTAACATGTATTGATGCACACCTCTCGCGCTTCATCTTTCGTACACATTCAACTCAAGCCGTCAGACAAGCTTGACTTTCCCTGTAGATAAGAGCATAAGAACTGTAGAAACTCTTGTCATGGCGTACGTAAGAAATGCTACAGGCAGTAGTCTGTATTGCGACAATAACTGTAGTCAACATAAAATAGTGAAACGGATATTTTGATGGCCCACAGCACTTGACCTCTCCATGTATCTACCTGCAGTCGGTCGTCATTATCAACATTGGAATTAGCGGTATGCTAATCTAGTTGGTATTGATAATTCTGTCATCATCTGTTGATTTGTTTGAAGCCGTGCATGAAAAATTACGTTTTGGAGACCAATCGAGTCACCGAGTCAGTTGTAGATCTGGGACCATCTTCTGACGATTGAGTTGGAAAACAAATACCTCTATATTCAATGTCAACGTTATTATCTTGAATATGCGTATGCTGAAAAAGTACTCCACCCTCGATATTTATTTTTTAAACGGAATGCTATATGTAAGCTGAAAGTGGCGACAGGCGGAACATTTTTTCGAATGGAATGCTTGGTCATGTGATACCTCATCTTAAAGTACTTCATAACCCTAGGATTTAAACTCACTATCATTCAAAATGACAGCCACCATCTCGAAATTTTCAGTGTTATTTTTCCTTAACCTATAGTATCCATTAGTTTGGTTCATTCAAATATATTTAATTAAATATAAAACTTCTTCTTAAAAAAATAATAATGAAAGCCCGATGTCACTATCATATGCCTCAAGCAAATTGTCAAGTGAGAATTCATAACCTTCGTCAACAGGATCATCATTATCCGCGGTAACTGACTCTAAATTATTGTCTTTTTGAATAAATTTAACGGCAGTGTTGGTAAAGTAATACCGCAGACATGGTACCGGAATGTGGATTGACAGATAAAAAAATATTACCCTGGAATCCTGTGTAACTTCGTTTTTAGAACACCACCAAACTCTCTCGTAAAAGTCACTTGATCCAAACATCCATCTGTACATATATAAAAAGCAATATGTTATATTTTCTTTTATGGTCGATTAAAATTAACTACATCTCGATAAAGTAAATTATTACAACGTTTTTCTTATTTAGGATAATAATTTTATAGCCATTCTTAAAAGTATCGAATTTCATTTTTATAACAAAACACTCTCAGTCTAATAATTTTGTGGTAGAAAATCGTACTCTACTCTCCATCTCGTTGGAGGTCATTCCTTATAATTTCTGTAGACCGTAAATACGAGAGCTGAAGGTGACTTGGTGCTATTTCCGGTGCTCTGTTGTAGGAATCTTCTGCGGCCCACTGCCCGAATCTGTGATATAGTTCACACGCCGAGTTGCAGGTAGTGAATTGTTTTGCATATCAAACGCGACACATACTATTTCACCATCTGAGGATATCCATGTTGTTTGCTCTGTGAGAAAATAATATCAGACGAAACAGTTTGGCCTTGAGATAGCAAAGCAGATTATCTGCTTGTCTGAGACGCAACAACTAACCACAAGAAAAAACCTGGATGAAAAGGTCATGGTCATGGTCCATTAGCTAGCTTGGAAAATATCAATTAGATCTTGCATTCAAGGATATCCAACTAAATTGGATCATCGTTCGCATAAGAACTAGAAAGACAATTGTTATTTAATTCACATAAGCTGATTCCTATTAGATTAAAAAATACATGAACCTGAAAGTCGCCACCACACTATTTTTTTTGTATGTTTCCAGTTAATCAACGACTTTTAGTAAGTTGAATCGAGTATCTAAATTGATTAAACGTGAGAATTGGAAAAACGCAAATACATATATCTAATTTAAAGAAATACTGAAGTAATGAACTCCACCTGCGCTAGGTGTGGCCACCTACATATGGCAAAATTTCGTTTCATGTATTTTTGCCAGTTACCTCTTGTCTACATATATAGGATTTCACACATTTTTTCGGCGTCTCCTATTTTTGCTATTTCAATTAATATTATTACGACTCGATTACTATTACTATTATTATCATCACAATTATTACTATTATCATTATCATAATTATTATTATTATTATTATTATTATCATTATTATTATATTATTACTATTATACCTATTACTTTATACGATCTTATTTATAACCTTAGCGAAGTCATAGAAATAATTTTATATGTATTGTGAATTAATAGTGAGATATTGCTAGTTGATTTCTACATTGGAATGAGTAAAGAGGCTAAAATAGGAAAATGGAATTTTATTCTCATTGGAAGATGCTTCTGCTCAAGTAGGTACTGAGCAAAAGCTGCAATATTTGTGCATACGACTGCGCCTAAAATACTCATAGACAATGCAGTCCTATAAGAAAATTTGTGAATTATCTTAGCTTTGTTGTAAGCACAGTTGTTAAGTTGAAATCTTATAAGAATTTAATTACTCCCTGTATATTACATAAGGAGGAAAAAAGGGTCGTTGTGGTTTGACATCAGCATGCTAAATCTTTTGCAACATCAGCGATGAAAGAAAAATATTCACAGTGTGTATTAATCTAAAAAAACGTGGTGGCAGCCATTGATACTTCAGGAACTCTGTGCTCTCCGTAAAAATTTTTGTTTGTTCAATATGTATTTCCTTGTCATATACATACATAGCCAAATACATCTGAGATGAGCAGTCTCTGACTCCCTCAAAAAATATAGAGTAAATTATTGGACAGTTAAGGTTTAGACAACTTTAAATGAGAGCCAAACTTTCAATATATATATATGGCAAAGAGACAATGGAAACTACATATAAAGGAAGTTAGAGGCTTTATTAACTAGACTGCTAGAACATATTTAAAAATAGCTTTGCAGAATTTACACTAACAATGATAATTTGAACATATGCAAAAAAAATATAGTTATTGAACGCATCATTTATTGGACGGGTCTTATATAATGTGGTATAATCATTTGTAAAATGCTTTTTTGCCTGATTATATTGTTCGTATAATTCATCGACTTCCTGATCATCAATATCTTCACAATCCTGGTCACTATCACTCAATCTGTAGCAGCTATGATATATGTATAAATCGTCGTCGCTAGGTGTGTTACGTTCGTGGCTTTGTGGGACACATTTTTGATGATAGTATCGTTTATAGTCATCACTTTGTAGTTCACCAGATCTGATGACCTTTAGGCAGGCAGAGCACTGTGTTGCTGTTTGTGAATTGTTACTTTTACCTTGTTTTTCGTTTCGTTTTTCCTGCTTCTTCCTTTTTCTATTTTCCTTCTCTTCTTCCTGTTGTTTCTTTAATACTTCTTTTTTCCTGAACATCTCCTGATATCGCTCAGATGTTATAGCAAAAGGGAATCTCTCTATGTTTCGTTTACCCTTTCTTGCTGGTGCAGGAGGTGACTCTAGAAAGCTTCCTAACAAATTGTTTGTAACTATGACTCGGTTGGGAGGAATTATTTGCTTACACATTACATTGACGGTAGCTTTGCTGGTACTCGGCTGACTAAGGGTTGTTCAGTTTCACTGGAATTTGAAGCAAGTGAAGGATTTTTTGTTGGAGACATTATAACTATATTTTGTACAATATTAATTTTATTTTTTGGCAATGTGATATCCTTAGGTATTGTATCACCGTTTCCGAAGAATTTCCAAGTCTTGAATAATAGACGCAAATTTTCGTCGGAAATTTCATTTTCTGCCGGTTTTCCATCAATATTTTGGAACATTTCGATTATTTTGGGACCAACTATTGTTGCGAATTTGTCGTAGGTCATCTTGTGCTGAGTAAGGTTTTCTACACCAATATTTGGTTGCTGCATGGTCCCCACTCCTACACATTTTGTTTAGTCGATGTTATTTGGATTGAAAGGATACAAACCGCAGACTTTAAACCCGTTTACAACTGTTTCTGCTTTGAAGCTCTTATTAACAGCATTTTATAGAATACCAGCAAAAACAACTTTGTTTACTATTTGCCCCGGATGTTCTGCCTCTCACTTTTGTACTGACTGACGCCAAGCTTGTTTGATTGGTCGGAAAGTGGATACATCACAGGGTTGCAAAATCTTTGTAGGATTAGGATACAGTGAAATGATTTCAATTTGTAGTTCATTATATAGAATGCTTAGATGATGAATGAATGAAAACACGAAATTAGAGGCATACCGGCCACCATAAGGAGCCAGCGCATAGGCCACTCAGACGGGCCCTTGTGCACCTCCACATTTCTTAGACCTCAAGCCTCACCATTCTAGCGAAGTTGAATATGGCCTTGTGCTCAAGCCCCTTCATGACCTAGGGGTCCAAAGTGATGGACCCAGTATAGTCTGCCTGTAGTAGCGTGCAGGTGGCGCCTTAATGTGTTATGACCAGACAACAGTCCCACCAGCAACCTTAGGATGGCTCTATCTAAAGATAAGCAGAAACGTCCGTCCTTAGCGTTGAGCCCTGCAATGAGTTTCCGTGCCTGACGTAGTTCTCTGGAGATGGTTCTCTACTCCTGAGAATGTTGTCTTGCAATCCACTTCTCCGTTTTCCTCCTGACACTTAGCGTAGGCACCCCTAAAGCTGGCTCAGGACCAACGAGCTTGCTAGCTGATCCTGTCTTCGCCAGAATCGCAACGATTTCCGCTTGGAAAATCTTGGTGTATCCACCAAGAGGCAGAGATAGCCCAGTCCTAGGCCCCGAGATACCGGCACCAGAGCCCTCTCCGGTGACCAAAAAGTCCGTGTACCAGACTTGCCCACTCACTCCAGTGAGCCTCCGGTAGCCGGTGTCCCACTCCTCCCTCGTTGGATACACCACATTAAACAAGCGGTTGAAGCGATACTTAGGGGTAACTACATTGCCCCTGCTCAGAAGGACAGGATCCTCTCTTTGCAGTTCGACCAGGATGGCAGTGTGACCCTTGACGGGATTCAAGAAGGCCCAGCTGCCCTGACTCCACAGTTGATGTCCGACTACTCTCGCCTCTCCGCGGATCACTAGATCCAACTGTGAGAGATCCAGCAGAGCTTTCATTGCACTCAATGGCGTTGTTCGCATTGCGCTTGTAGTGCTGATGCAGGCCAAGTGCTGAATTTTATTGAATTTGGCCTTACTCGTCTCAGTTCCAATGCAAGGCCACCAAACCAAAGAGCCGTACAAGAGAGATGGACGCACTATTGTCGTGTAGAGCCAGTAAGCCACGTTGCCCACGTTGCTGTAACATGGCCGGAAATACCCGGTCCAGACCCGGGCTTTTGTATGGAGCAAACGAATCGATCGCACATACTATCCTTTCGAAAGTTACAATCTCCTTTGCATTGTGCCAGTCCTCCCTTGAGGGCCTGCGCAACTGTATGTACTCTGTGATTGACCGCGCTACTATGAAACCGGGAAAGTGCGTATCCATCAGAGGCCTCAGAGTACCTTCCTCGGAATTAGTACTACCTCCCGAGGGATCGGACAGAGATCCTAATCTTGCTCTAGTGTCTTTGCATAGGATTCTGTGTATTCTAGCTGTAGCAGGAATGTCCTTTATGGACAGACAGGAGTTCCTCCAGGATTCCTTGGAAGCTCTTCTAATCTCCTTTTTGTATTCCTGCAACGCCTTCTTCTAGTCTCCCCACAGGGGGACCCTCTCCTGTGCTTAACTCTTCCAAGAAGTTTGTGCACAGCTCGTTTTCTGTCCTCTAACTCCTTAGACCAGAAGGTTGCCTTGCCCCTACCTTGAACTTTGCGTAATGGGCAGTTTTCATCATATGAAGCAGTCAAGTCCCTGCTCAGACTACGGCTGTTTCTATATCAGGGCCCCTAAAAAGGCTGTATGGGACCCCTCTATGCTTACTATCAAGGTCTGCCCTAAAGGACGTCCAGTTAGTATGCTTAGGATTCCTAGCATATTTATCAGAAATCTCTCCATCAGTCTTGAACATATTCCATATTGTTCACACGAGTAAAGGGGAAATGGTGGTCGACGTCCGCGGTGCCCCTACACGGACGCAAGGCTGGATACTCTGGGAGGTCGCCCAGTGTCCCCGAGGCTCCGTTTAAGACGGTGCATCCCCACCGCCACGCACGGAATCGCTTAACACCTTGGGCTGGGTATAGTACCATTGCCCTCGATGGCCGTTGAGCTGCAGGCGACCCAGATATACATCCGAGACACCTGTGGTCCAACGATTCATTCGATTAGCCGGGCTACAGGCTTCACGGCGGGTCTTCTCAAAAACTGATCGAGGCGGTCCACCGCAAGACCGGCACCCCGTTGCCACCCCTACACGGTCGCATACGGTTCAGCCCCCAAGGCCGCCCCGCAGAACGAACTCGTGGACGTACGGGTTGGATTTTGTAGAAGAATCCCAGATAATAATTCAGGTGACTCTTGTGACCGTCGAGAAAGAGGATCACTGGTAATTTGATGACATTTTCCTTCAGATGGGGATAGAAAAAATTTGCTATATTTATTGATAAAACGTTTCGGATGTCATCCATCCTTTGTCGCTTCTTCCTACGCCGCACTTACCTTTAGTTATTTTTTCAGGAATGATAATGGAAAACTGCCATTATCATGCAAAACGCAACATCTGCTGAGAAAGTAAACAGCACGATGATGTCTTCTTTCGAAGAACCGCGTTCTACAGAATACACATTTCTTGTCCCTTTTGCTGCAAACACCTTCCCAGTGGAAGGACAAATCTCAAATACTGATTCGTCACTATTAAAAATCCTTGAAGGATCTTTAAGCACATCTTCTAGATTTTTTTGCTTGAGGTAGCCATGGACATTGACCAACCAGTTTGTGATGTCCTGTTCTGAGACAGATGCACTGAACGAAGTAACCCCTTCAGCTGTTCTTTTAGAGATATCGGGATGCCTTTTCAAGAAGTCCTGTAGCGTTGAAAATATCTATAAGTAGTAACTAATTATACAGTACTTATTTGCTGGGATACCTTAACCCATCCATCTCCAGGTCGGTTATCATTAAATTTGTGTGGGCGCGGATTAACAGTCAAAAATCTTTGTAGGTCATTCTTCAAATCGTTGGCCTTTCTTGGAAAACCCTTTGCAGCATTATCTTTTATCCAGCTGCAGAGAAATATTTATAAAATTAGTCTCGTGTTATTAGACACTAATAAAACACAAATTACCTAACTAACAAAGCCTCTTCTTCACTTGTTAAAATTGGCAATGGACCCAAGGCTTCTTTATGACCGGGATGTTTCAGTTTAAAGTCTAAAGTGGACTTCGGAATTCCGTACATTTTTTCGGCTGTTCGGTAAGATTCTGTGCCGTTTTGTATGTCTCTGAGAGCGTATTCAGGTTTCGACTTGTCGTAATGCCTTAATTTCGGCATATTGCTAGTTCGTAAAATGTAGACCAAATATTAGAGACCCGAACTCGGCTACTGGACGGCCAAGTTTAGCTATTGGACAGTTGTCCAATAACTATCAAATCTATTTCCAAGTTAATATAAATAGAAAAATATCCCTTCTTGTATAAAGATTCACTGAATCGAGTGAACACAGAACAACTTAACATTTTTCAGAGATTGGACAGATGTCCAATAACCGAAATCGTTGAAATAAAACTATGAGTGATTGGACAGAACATATTTCTGAAATTATCAACTCAAACTTGTTTTTGATGCAATCTAAAGCATGACAACAAATATCAGTACGAAACAGCAATGTCCAATTACTGTTAGGTATCCGATAACTAACGATTTACCCTACACGACTTTGAAAAATTTGTTAAACACGAAACAAAGAAAAGAACGAACAAAAGTCATAATTGTTAGGATGTTGAAGGAAAACATCAAAGATAACCGTGACAATTTACCTGATATTCTGATTTCTAGCTCCTAGAGCCTCCTCAGAATAAAATCCAATAGGTATATCTAGATCTAAATGTAGGTCTGCAACATATGGTACCATGGTACTCCTGCTCAATATTTAATCTTGATTTGAAATTCAATAAACTACTATAGTTTAAAGCCGTCACACGTAACGGAAAATGAGAGTGAAGGACGTTAGTTGCTATCATTGCATCTAGAAAATCTATTCTGTCTATGGATAAGCAAAATTCAAGCTACTCGAAACATAAAAACTAAGCTAGTATCTAATTGTGACTAAAGTAAAGACCAATAGGGCTGGAAACACAAAGTCCGTCACGACTTTCACAGCATTCGGTGCAAAGCCGCCCGTCCGAAATGAAGACCTTACCAGCAGATTTATGCGATAAAGCTACTTTTCAGAATGATATCAGACATATAAATTCAATGTCTGATCTTTTCAGATCAGATAGTAACACATGTATAAAATTTATTGTATTGTTCCCTATTTTTGCCAGATTTTGTTCCTCTCTGGCCAGTGTGTGCCGTATCTTTTCAGCCAATCCACAGGAGCTACTCGTGTACGGCTGTTTCATGCTTATTGTCAATTATCAGCACGGCTATTAGTTTTCAATGGCGGGCAGACCATCATCTACTGTGTCGCCGAAACCGGTTGCAGTTATCAATCGGCTATAGATGGTAACAGAAATATCTTTCCCATATACAGCTATTATTTTCTCTGGCAGTGGTCGAATCCAGTAATACACGACATTTATGCATCATAGGTCGGTAAAGCTAATTCCTCTGACTAGAGGACACCCTGTTCTTCTCTGGCTTGCTGTCCTACTTAGAGACCAAGCCTAGACCGTGCTGATGATTGCCAATAAGCATAAAATGGTGCAGTATTATTAGTTTTCAATGAGTAGACTAAATCTGTCAGAATCGACATCTTGATAACTTGTCTATCAACACGAACTGAGATATATTCACAGCTCTAACAAATAGCTTTTATTCGCTCTCGCAATTATCGATTCTGGTCATAGATGGCACTTGTGCTGTAAGAAAATTTGCTTATTGACGCAAGAACCATACAGTAAGAGTCGAAGAAGATCCTGTATTTAACGTTAGTTAACTTGAATCTCCTTATTTTTGCAGCTTCAGTAGGCTGTTGCTCCAAAAGGAGGAGCTTGAACAAAAGCACCTTCATCTGCTTCAGGTCGTGGAATCAGAGAAAACAGCGAAATGGCAGTATGCTCAGCAATGTGAGGAACTGTCGATGGATATCGAAAAAATGAGGGCTGAGGTAAGAAGTCTGATTTCCGCTTTTCGTTTCTGCAAACTAATTTGAAACAATATTAAAGAACTATTGAAGAGATTTTGAATTAGCAATTATAGTTGCGAAATTTTTGCTGTCCAAGATGTCACGATTTCCAAGGAGATCCAAATATACAATAAGAGAAAAAAATGTTCCGATAAAATGTCATTGGTAAGGTCATCATCGAGGCACTCGACACATGACAGTTTCCCAGAGATATCCACCACCCTGATCGTTGCTTACTCAAAAGTTCAGAAGTACACGAACCAGAGCATATTGAGGAGTAGATTCTCTGATGATGAAGCAGCATTGACAGAGGATATGATGGAGTATAATCCAGGAATACATATATCACTGCTCTGCAGCATTTAAGTAGTAGTAAAATGGCAACAGCTTTTTCGTCCTTGGCGTAGTACCAACTTTGTGTAAGCAATACTTTCCAATTTATAGACGGGCTAAGGATTTGTGAACATACCGACAGATGTACATGGTTTTTTGTGAAACATGCTACTAAGTAAAATAAATAAGTTTGCCACTGGTTTTTACAAAAACTGACATCAGTTTCTTAAAGCCAGATTGATTCTATTCCATCTATTGACCTTGGAACTAAAGCAGATTCACTTACAACTCATTAAGGGTTGACACGTGGTCTGCAAGCTGTTTGATAATCGAAAAGATAAAAAAAGAGCGTGACTGTAACGGTACCTCTTTACAATGAAAGTGAATTCATGGAACATTTCAGAGTGAAGCTCAAAGTGGCTGAAGATATATCAACTAAATACGAATATACCATGTTCTTCATAAGACGACTGGAAGAAATAAGAGGCTTTCTGCTTATGAGCAAACATTCATCTTTTTGTGCTTCGCAGGACATGTCACGCTTATTTTACATAGTAAGACGTTTAATCAAGTTTGAGACTTAGTATACCTGGAAATGTATTTCGAAGGCCTAACAATGATGAAAAAACATATAATTTTATCGAAATGTCAAATACGATTGACAGGAAAATATATTCTAGCGGAACACAGTTTGAAACTGTTTTAAACTAGTTATTGAATAACGCATGCGCGTTAAAGGAGCTTACAATCGGGTGACAAACCATTGGAAATGTGATGCTATAACTGTTGCTCCAACTATGACTATACAAATATTGTCCATTCTTCATTAACTTGTAGGGATGTCCGCTATTTCTTTAGACGCTATCTGCAATCCCTAACGTGTACTCTCATCATGTGTACGCAAAATTGGTGTGGACGTTGTTGTCTACTATAAAATAATGTAAGATTAGGTTTGTAAATCTAATTTTCCATGCATTTTGCTGGCTGTCTTCTGAAAGGTGCTATCGAATAAAGTTGTAGTTTTTTAAATTGAACACCCTGTATATTTTGAGTGATTCTAAACATATTTATGGTGTGTTAAGCTCGTTTTTATTACAGATTGCAAAGGCGGCTAGATGCGATCTGGTTCGGAATCGGATATACGTGAGTAAATGATACACCAACTTTAACTTTTTGGAAATAAGTATGATAAACCACATATATATTTTGAATCAGACAAAAGGGATCAGTATTCCTGAAAATATACTGAATGTTTCATTTAAAAAAATACAACTTTATCCGATAGCACTTTTCTGAGACACACGAGAAAAATATTACATGACAAATTTTATATTAGACGTTATAACTTTCATATAAAGTTATATAAAAAAAGCTATAGGTGGTCAATTCATAGCCGACACGCTGTACATATGGATATGGGCGGTGATTAATAAATGAGAGTAAACTATTATCTCATCGATCAAAAATGCATGCAAAACAGATGTCTTACACATAGTGTGATAATGATAAGATAAAATGTCGGTGGTCTTGGTCCCAGTAAAACTATTCTACCTCCCTACTGAGCGAGGCCGTGGAAAATGCTTGTTCCGGAAGTTGTTGTATCCAGTATACAACTTCTTCCCGTCCAAGTGATTGTACAGCCGTTAAGGAATACCTCAGTACCGATTGCCGGGTTGCGGTACAAGTCCGCCAACGGGCCACTTTAGGTCTATTTAATATCACTAGCACGTAAAAAGAAGGTGGTAGACAAGGACCAGTCGACCGTGGCGGTACCACCCGCTACCTTTTCCCAGGGTGTGTTATAAATGTCCGCATGTTTCCACACCTAAGCTATGCAGTCGGTTATCTTCCAAAACAAAGAAATTAATGATGATGGATCCCTCGAGCACTAAGAATTCCGGACGTAAAATCACTCCGCTCTCGGAATGTCTGGGTCGAGGGTGGGCTCGAGGGAACAACATCGAAGATAAAATTTGTTTTTCGAGCATCTGCGGGATTAACAGCAACATTGATGTTGTTTATCACTACCTGCAATCCAATCGTTCCGCCATGCTTTTCTTGGCGGAGACAAAAATCTTAGAGACTGCACCGATTAACCGTCTCAACTTCCCAAACTACGAGGTGCACTCCAATCTGAGAAAGAACGGGGGAGTTGTGGCTTTTGTCCGCAGCAGCCTTTCCTGCTTCAGGGATCTTTCTTTGGAATCAGACCGGAAGGACATTCTGAGGCTTCGCCTCAACTCCAAAACATCACCCAAATTTATTTGCTGCCTTTATCGCACTCTCTCGAACCATAACTGGGATGACCTATTCGAATACCTCGCCGTCCAGATCGACTTCCTGAACATCAATCACCCCGCTTCAGAGGTAGTCCTTCTGGGTGATTTCAATGCTCATAATGAGCTTTGGTTGTGGTCAAATATGACCGATGCAGCAGGTCGTGCAGTCGAAGCGTTCGCTCTTACTACTTTTTCCCCCGCGTCTCTTCACACGCCAGTAGCCTGCTGGATCTCCTTCTGACCACGCATCCTGTCCCTTACAGCACTGCTGTCCTGTCCCCCCTGGGTAACTCGGACCACGGTGTTGTGGAGGTTAGGTTTCGGTCAGAACCCGCTGTGGCAGCAGAAACTCGTACAGGCCGCAAAACTTGGCATCACGGACATGCCGACTGGGAGGGGCTCAGAGACTTCTTCTCTAGCTTTTCTTGGAGATATGACTGTTTCACTGACGCGGATGCGTCGACTGTCTGTTCTTCGATAACCGAAATTATCCGCGTCGAAATGGAGGAATACCCTTACAACTACAGGCCTATAGCTCTGCTTTCTGTTATAAGTAAGGTGATGGAGAGGTGCATAAATCGCGAGCTACTGGACTACCTCGAACGTCACAGCTTGATTAGCGACAGGCAGTACGGTTTCCGGCACCAACGATCCACAGGGTACCTCCTAGCTTACGTCACGCAATTGTGGAGTAAACTCATCCAGTCTCATGGTGAGGCTCATGTCGTTGCTCTTGACATCACGAAAGCGTTCGATCAGCTGTGGCACGCTGCCCTCTTAAGCAAACTTCCATCTCATGGCCTCCCAGAAAAGCTTTGCAGATGGGTGGCTGACTTTATCTCTGGCCGCAAGATATCCGTAGTAATTGACGGATTCTCCTTTTCATCCCACAACGTCAACGCGGGTGTTCCCCAGGGATCGGTCTTGGCTCCAATACTGTTTCTCTTACATATCAACGACCTCCTTTCCTGCACGATCAACCCAATCCACAGCTTCGCTGATGACAGCACTCTACATGCAGGAATTCAGAGTGACAAGCCGATCTCTGCCGCTGAGCTGGAAAAAAGAAGACTAGCGACGACTTCTTCTCTGACTAGAGACCTGGAGGCTATTACTGCTTGGGGACGCAACAATCTTGTACAGTTAGTTCAATGCGTCCAAAACACAGTACTGTACTTTGACGAACAAAAAGCGTCCTAGCGCTCATACAGTTTCGATGGACGGTCGAGTTCTACCAAAGAGCCATTCATTTCGGCTGGTCGGAGTCCAGATCACCGAGAACCTGATCTGGCACGAACACATCTCGTCAATAGCTGCAGCTGCTGGGAAAAAGCTAGGCTATTTGTTTAGGGCTCCGCATGACCTTCTCACTGTATACAAGGCCCAGATAAGGCCTATCCTCGAGTATTGCTTACACATTTGGGGTGCTGCCGCCCCGACTACATTATCCGTGCTCGATGCTGTCCAGAGGAGAGCGGTCTGACTGATCAATAACTCTTCTCTAACAGACAGTCTACCACACACATCCTAACCGTGTCAAACATCCGGAACTGGCCGATACAACCGCTCCTTTGTTCCGAGGGTGTCTGGATTATGAAACAATCTACAAGAGGAAGCTTTTCCCAGTTCTACTAACCTTAGGCAGTTCAAAAATCGTATTAACAATCATCATAGCAGCCGCAGTGTTCCGGCATTCAAGCTTCTGCCTGCACGGCTGTTTCGATATAAAAAAATATGATTTTTATCGTTAATTACCTATTCCATCAGCTGATGATGTTTTGAGTTATTCAAGAGACCACATCGACTTGTTTCATTTTCGTTTTTTCTGTATCCATGACTAGCCTAACACCTTTACCGCTTGGATGTGTTGCTAATGAGAACGAAACAGCGCCATTTGCGGTTGGTCGTGGTTACAGGAGACGAAAAGCAAACATGACCCTTCAAGTCCTTTTTTTGTTTCAGCTATTGTCTTTAATAAAAGAACGGAAACCCTTAGCCAAGCATCAATCCAACGGAATCCTCTCTTCCGTTCAAGGGACAAGCAGCGGGAGCATGCCGAGTCAGTTCGCTAACTTGGCCCAAGACTCCATCGAGCTCAGAAAAATCAAGAAGGTCCAGCGCTTCTGGCGAAGCTGGCTCTGCAGGAGGCGATGGAGACAAATCGTGGAACAGTACACCAAGAGTCGACATGCAGAGAGCATGCGCAAGAGGTACAGTTTGGTCGTCAGACTGGTTGAGGCTGAGGAAGAATATGTGAAACAGTTGGAAGTTTTGGTGACTTGCTTCCTCAGACCGTTCAAAATGGCGGCTTCATCCAAGATGCCACCCTGTTCACACGAGGATGTCAATTCCATATTTTTGAACAGCGAGAATGTAATGTTCTTGCATCAAATTTTTCTGAGAGGGTTAACTTCGAGGCTAGAGAGCTGGCCCACGTTAGTACTGGGTAAGTATTTTGCATTTTTGACTTTCAAAAATGTTTTATCACGATTTTGCTGCACAAAATTCCTATTTCTATCTTCTGTTTCTGTGAAGTGAACGACATACCTAGATAATTCATAAATTACCATCAAAAACGTTATGGGTCCAAATATTGGATAGAATATGACCTGTATATCACCTCACGTCAGATCTAACGCCAATTTGACGTTAGAAACATCCCACAGTACATTTTGTCATCAATTAAGGACTATGTACTCATAGAGTACACATCACTTAGTGTGCTTTTAAAAATGTGAATCTTTCTCGATATCCGCCCATCTACTTCGATTATTCTCTTGTAGTCATTCTCAGATAGCTGCTTCTGTATACTGAATTCATTGTTCTGGTTATAATTTGATGTGACAAATTCATTGAACATTCAACCACATCTTCCATCGATTCATTTCTATTATCCGTTACACGTTGCTGATACCGGTCGAAGCGCTGAGAGGTTTTTTCAATTGGTTTGGTCATTGAGAGGACAACAATGGCTTAACACAGGCCTCTCCAACTTGGGTGCCACAAGATCAGCGCCGAGCACCGGAGCACCGCTCGCCCAGTTCCAGCGTTTGTTGTCGCTCGGTATTTTGGATGTCCGATTTCATTAGCATTATACCTTCTATGAATGCATTTATACCTGTTTGACTGTTCGGCTGCTTGGTGGGACAGCAGAATACACATCGGACATTGCGATAAAGGTTTTAAGATAGTCGAAGCGCTCGGCGAATAGAAATGGTCCGGAGCTGGTCACATTGAATCTACCTTCATCGCGCATTCGGCTAAATTTACTAATAATATGTAGTTTTTAAGTAAATGAACAAGAAGAGCTCGGTATTATGGGGCGCATCCTATCGAAAGTACCTATCATACCGAGTTGAAGATAAAGCGTGACCGGAGAATGTCACCGTCTTGGTAGAATCCAATGAAGCCTACATAAGTTTAAATTAAATTTTAGCCTCATTTGAAAAAACTTGGAATGAAAAACTTATTCCGTGTTGACAATTGAATTGGTAGGATCGAGTCAGCGCGCAGGTGATAAAATAGTGGTCATAAATTCGACGTAAACACATTTATTCTTAAGATGATCTTTGACAGCATTACGATTTAACAAATTTTCCAATATCTGGTACAATGATTTTAGCAGTGGAAATTCTGAATATCGCATCTAAGAATACATCTTACTATGATTACCTCTTTAGAACATTGAAGGGCGGACCTCAATTCATCAATCTGCGCTCATCTTTCATCGCCAGTAATGCCATCATAATCGGTAGAATGTTTGTCTACATAATGTCGGTGAATACTCGATGACTTAACGTTAACTATTCTGCGACAAATTAAACATTGTGCTTTCCATCAGTATTTACCAAAAAAATAGGCTTCTGCCCATACGGGATTGAACGACATCGTTTAAAAAAATAAGCACGTTAAGACCACTTTAACTTGTCCTATTAAGAAATGGCCTGCGACCGGGGGATAGTCCGATAATATTCTGCTTTCTATCGCGACGGCTGTGCGGACAAGGAAACAACACGTTTTCGATGTTAAGAGGATGGTCATTGAGAGGACTCAGAATTTAAACACCCAGCCCCTTACCACACCGCATCACCATGGCTTCCGTCGAGCTATGTACATGAACAGAGCTGGATTGCGTTACAGCACAGACGCATACAAGCCATTTGATCAACCACGATAAAGTTCAGGTAGCCTACAAAAAAATTTACTGTCAACATTTCTATTATACAACACCGAACTGCTAAGAGGTGTTTGAGAGGGCAACACAATGCCTTACACTGGCCGTCGACCCTTTTCCATTTTAGAATACGTTAGTGATCGGGTACCAAACCGATAATAGGTTTTAGAATTAGCATGCCCATTGAGAGTCGACTTTTTCCTTTAATACAACAGGTTATTGAGCGGGAATGGAAGCGTCAAGAGGTTTTACAATTAGAATGGTCATTGAGAGGGCGGCAATGCCTTCCATCGAGCTTTTTATACGATACAAATTTGTCGGTATGGATTATGGTGGATGGATGAGAATTCAAGAGCTTTTATAATTAGAATTGTCATATCATCGGATTAAGGAGGAGGGATGACGAGATTGAAGCGGGAAAAGAGCGCTGCTGCTAGTTCGCCCGGTCGATGAGTTATAGTAGTGGGGGGAGGGAGGTGGGCGGGTTAAACAGCACGTTTTCGATGCTATGAGGATGGTAATTGAGAGGAATCGGAATTTAAACACCCCCCGCCCCTCACCCCACCGCACAAACCACCCCTTCACCTCCCCGGGAGGAGGATGAAGTGGCAGTATAATCCTACTTCGATTTGGGTTGCCCATGATGACGAACGCACATCCTCATCCCTCACTCCGCTTGCCCTTAATTGATTTTTGTGCATACAAAAAGGTACAGACTGGTAGATTAATGTCATTACCTCATCACCGGACAAGCAATAAATAAACCGAAACCTGTCTGTTTTCAAAATAAGTATTTAATTAAAATGAGAGGTGAGTTCATGAATTCAGGGGTAAAACAGAAAAATATTCACAATCCTTTAAGCAAGAATCGAAAAAGAAGTTTCCAGAATGGTTGCAAAGTACTTTGAAAGAGCGAACAGTATGCACATTGTAGAAGTTGTAAATTAGAACTATGACCTCAAGAAACATGTGTGCGCGCCCAATACAATAACAGACGTTTTTCATGACTCAAAGGTACTTGATCTACCACTGATCCTGGGACGGCATCTTCCTTATACCGAATTCAACGACACTATTTACCGATTCCACACTGCAGATGTGCGGATCACTTTAAAAGCAATTGATATCCCAGACTTATAATATCTAGACGATGAATAATAGGTGGATGCGGATACTTTCACAAATATCGATGTTTTAGGACCCAGAAATGCAGAATGTGCTATTTGTTTACATTTGGTGTCGATTTCTAGATCATAAATTGGTAAAAATTGTTTTTGATGTAACAAAAGGTGATGAATCAGTTGGAATACGTTTTATATACTTTTTTTTTGCAAAATAACAAAAATCGGTACATTTCTACAGGTACGTATTATGTACAACACCCTGTACGTGATATACAGATACAACTAGATTGCCATACATGAACAGTCGTTAAAAACAGTGAAAACATCCTACTAAATATAATAGCTAGAAAATCGAGCTATTATTTCCCTAATTTTCATTGGTCCATTTGAAGAACTGACCTTTTTTTGTGAAATGATAAAAATTTGATACTCTATGAAAGTTATCCTAATTCTAAGGCACACAGACATAATATTACATCTATAATGTACCCTTATTTATAAGGCAACCGTTTTTTCACCACTTTGTTCAACATTTCAATAGAAATCACTGATAATCAGAGAGTTTTGACAGTTTCCGTCAAACTGCATTTCGATAAGGTCTTTTCCTATTGGTCCAACTGACTGTCAAATATTAATATTGGTGAAATTGGCCCTTAATGAGTTATACCCTGCATGTATGATGTCATTCCATTGTATTGCTTATTTTGCTTCTTCCTTTTGTTCGTTAAAACTGCCGATGAAATCGAATTTTGATCTCCTGAACGTACACGCCCAAATATTTCGATTGGCAGTCCCTAGTTATCGTTTTATGAGTCGGTGTCTACTACAGTAACGCCTCAAACAGTATAAGATGATATTATCTTCAAACACCTTAACAGAACGAGTATCATATCTAAGAGATATATTTCGAATAAAAAAAATGGTTAATAATTATTACCTCTTACGCCACTGGCAAAGAGGTATTGTAATCGCGAAAATGGGATATGATTTTTAGATGTTATTTAAGACAGCACGAAAAACCATGTCAGCCACTCCCGTCGGTCTGTCTGTCCGCTAATCCTTGGAATGCCTATGGCTTGTAAGTCACTAATATGCCAAGAATAAAAAAGCTTTGCAGCTTTTGAAAATCGGTCCGGTGGCGGTGAAGATAGGGAAAAAAATACGAAAAGGATTAAAATCGCTCGATCTTAATCAGATACTCCTGATCATTTTCAGAATTTTTTTTGTAGGGATTGCAGTTCAGGGGTTGATGTGGTTGGTGGAGGAGGATATATAATTTTTTATAGTCAAATACCAGAATTGATGTCAGTAGCAGAAGTCATCGTGCGCCGCTGCTTCGACGCTGTATCTTTTGATTACAGCGACGTTTACCGACATTTCACAAAGAAACGCCGCATTTTCGAACGCCTCCGCGAAATAGCAATGGCGTACAATGTGTTTCGCTACTGTCATCAATTTTGATATTTTACTATACCAATGTCTATACGCTCCCAGCTCCAGTAGTCTTATCCACTTATTAGCCATACTTCACACATATAGATTTTCCTGTATATTTGTTCTTGAAGCATAGAAGTTTCCGATTCGCATACAGCTTTTATCTAAGCTCACTGCCCGGTATAACGATCAGACTCTATCCATACTACAGCGCAAAAAACATATACATGGAATGAACGATAACTCGTTGCAGCGGTGACGCGGTGGCCGCGCAGATGTGGAAGGAAACAATGATGCCAGACAGACTGTGGTGGTTGCGACAATGCCCCCAAATTAAGGGCTTTAAGTGGTCAAGAAGGAAACCAAAAAAAAAGGGGATGGACCACGATGCACCAAAATGGCGCTTACCTTGATGCTGTGATGCGCACGTCGGCAGGGGCCCCTGGTCTCTTCTGGAACTCCTAAACAGCCACTTGTACAGTAATTAGCGTTTAAAAAACATGGCGATTTCACAAAACAGCGTTATCGCAAAGTGCTTTAATCTAGCAACGGTTCTAGCGATTCGACGACTCGTCTTGTTTTTGTTGCGGTTAGAGTGCGCTCTTCCTCTTTCTTCCAAAAAAACGCGCGAACAAAACAGCGGTGGAGCAAACAATAGAAATTAAGGTAAAATAGGCATTGCGGTCGTAACGCAGACAGTAATTACCGATAGGG